CAATTTTCTTTAACAACCCCCCTTTCAGAGACATAGACAGGTATGGGGCATTGCAGGGTAACAAAAGAAGCCAAACGACACGTTGGACTTAAGTTTTGGACACGTTATGAATATTCTATGTATACGCCCAAAATTAAAAAAATACGTAGAAAGTTTAGCGTATGCCAGCGTTTTAGGAGATTCTGGGACTTCATGCATACACTGGCTAAATTGGCAAGATGACAGGGGCTTAAAATAAAAATTTGAATTGAATAAAAATGTCACACTTTCATAAGCATCTAAATCCCACTTCAGTTCTGAGTTCAGAGAAGTTACACCTGTGGATGTCTTCTAAGGCAGGCGTCTTCAACGTTTTCCAGGCCAATGACCCCCAAACTGATGGCCAGATCGAGCTTGGATCCCCTAATTAGGGCGACAGTGGCGTTGGGTGTAGGAGTTTGCCCTGAAAATGAAGGATTGGGGGTTCAAGCCCTGGCTCCGACTTTTAGTGTCGTTGTGTCCTTGGGCAAGACACTTCACCTGCATTGTCTACTGATGGTGGTCAGAGGGCCCTGTGGCGCCAGTGTACCCTTGGGGTTGCGGACCCCCTGTTGAAGAAGTCTGTTCTAAAGCAACATCTCAAACGCTGCTTCCTTGTTGGGCATCATGTAGAACTGCTGCAGCAGAAGGAACCTCAGATGTAGTTTCAAGGTAGCAGACATGAAGCTCCCTCTGTTTTTATTCCCAAAGGAATGAAAACAGTTCCTGCATATTGACTGATTCAGTGAAATATGGAAGTGATTGTCTCTGTCAGTGAAACTGACTTTTATTCATTTATTTCCTGTTTGATTCTCTGAAAATAAAATCCAGGAAGGCTAAATGCGTCTGTACAGTTTCTTTCTGAACGACTGGTAACTAATCCCAACATGACGGCTAATAAGTCCACGTTCAGCTGATTTGCCCCATTTTTATTCCCCACTTTTACTTTGTGACGGATCACAGCACAGTGATGGTCACCAAAGGGCTTTTTTGCTTTTAGAAGATGAGATCTGAAGAAGCTTTTTTTTATTTTTGCTAGAATACTGTTCTTGGATTTAAAAATTGTGGAAAAAATGTGCTGAGATATCAGTCCGATCAGCCCCATCTGGATCATCGTTAAACCAAGCCGTCCATCATCTCTCTGAAGAATTAGTTATAAACTCTACTTAATGACCAAAAGTCACAAATTGAAAACAAAATGAATATAAATGTAATCAATTATCCATTAGGTTTTTTTTTGTTGTTTTTTTTTTACAGTGTCCTGTCTGGCAATGTGGCAATAAGAATAATTGTCTTGATGCCAAAAAGAGCCCAACAGATTTTACTTACACAAGTGGAGCAGTACGCCAATTGCCATATTGCTCCACCTGTTTCATGCATATAAATTGCTTTATTATAATTATGCAGGGAGTTTTAAGGATTATATGGACACTGAAATGTAAATAGAACAGAAGAGGAAAAACAGAAGAAGAAAAAAAAGAGAAAAGATGAAAGAAAGAGGAGATTTTAACCATCGCCCGATCTCCCGGGGCAAGTAGTTTTAATTGTCGGGAGAGTACAAATTTCATTGCATTTGCCCGCCGGGCAAGTGCAATGATCGCAAAAAAAAAAATTATTTATCACTCAAAATTACTCTAAAATCACCGACATTCGATGAAAACAACCCAGAAGCGTTGTTGGCGCCATTTTTGTTGCTTTGTACACATTCTCGCGTGATTTGAAAAAGTTGCGTGATTTTTCCGCCAGATGGCGTGATTTTTGTCCACCTATTGGTAATTTTGATGTAGTTACCAAAACGTCAAACAAGCTAGAAAGCGCTATCATATGTCAGTCTTCTGTACAGTGATTCAGGTCATACATAAAAAAAATTTCATTAAATTTTTTCTCTTAGACATTGGAGAGGTGCATTTAAATGTTATAGAGCTAAACATGTTAAATTGGTGACCTGTTATGTTATTATTATTGTCTTGTTGCTGCATTTATTTTGTCAGGGAAAACTAATCCTGAAATGATGTAAGACTGTGGAAACCCTGTATAAAATTACTATGTATAATGATTCTCTAGAAAAGTCACATTATATTAATAGTATTATCTGGTATAAACATACCGTGACTCTAAAATAAAAGTTATTTATTTGTGACATTGACCTCTGTCTTGTGATTTATCTTAAGTTTTTTTTAGATTTTTAACATTAAAATGTATATTTTTCCAAGCACACAACAGTTTAAAGCAAAGTTTAGTTTGAAAAGAATGTGCAGGACGGATTGAAAAGCATGTTAACACAGTAATGTAGGCTTGAGTTCATTATCACATGCATATACACACCAGGAACCTGGAAACTTAAAAAATACTGAATTACAAAAAATATGATATATATACAAAAATGAATATTAGGAACTATATTTATCAAACATTATACTGGGCAAGTAAAAATTGTTTCTGGTCAAATGAAATGTGAAAGTCGGGCAAGTGGTAAAAATCCTTAACGTCAACCCCAGGGAGACAATGATAAAACATTTTCAGTCTGCTTCATCACCTGCAACAAGATGCAAAAAGAACAGCACAACCGAAAGACATGGTACGAGACAAACAATAAAGAAACACCTTAAAACTATTGCTGAAGTAGTATTATTTAGTCTGACATGTACTCCGTGTTACCTGAAGATAAGAGTGTGGGCTTTCTGTAGCTTTGGTTCTTTCGATGCTTTGATAGGTGGAGGAAATTTTGCATTTGGAGGAATTTCTTCCGTTAAAAAACCACATTAGAGCCAATAGTTCATTTAAACCCTGAGCACACGACAGCATTTTTAGAAAAGTTTATCTGCTGTTCTATTCTACCACAATAGGAAGCTTTTTCTATGGCAATGACACAATTTGAAAACGGGTTCTATAGTGGAAAGGTCTTAAACATCTCGGTCTCTGTTGTCATATGTGCAGGAAAAACAGAATCTGTCTTGGAAGGAGAAGCCCTGAGACTTGGTAGAAATAAATGGAGTCCCTTCCAAGGGCGTAGGTTTGATCTCAGCTTTGGTAGCGACACTATTGGTCTTAAGTTGAATTGGTCTGATGTCATTGGTCCTACGCATTATGCATGCTCCTATTTTTTTTATGCTTGACGTGAGCATCGAGGCACATTTCTTTTAAAGAGAAAACAGCTTTTTTTCCTTACATTTACACATATTTTATAAGCACTACACACACAAGATGCTGTTTATCAATGTTTGAAGCATCAGCGGCTTGGAATAATGTAAAATTGGGACAACTAAACACTTTGAAAAGGGTTACATTTGAACTTACCAGTGACTAAGACGGAAGGTAAATGCGTGTCTTTTAACCAAATATAGTCTAAATATGTTTGATTTACTGTATTAACGTAGGTGCAGGAACTATAAGAGGAACTGACACTGAGCATTTAAAATATTAACTTCAATATACAAGTTGTGAGAAAAGACGCGACTGTTGCAACAGCACTTTATTGTAAACTATAAACATGTTTATTGGTAGGGACAAGTAGGTCGGGCCAAGATTTTGGTAGGGAGATGTCCCTATAACCTGACTCCGCCAGATGGATTTGCTGGATTTGCTCCGCATATCCATCTGGAAACCTTCCGTTGAAGTAATTTTGGGAAGGGGCGAAAATACTGGTTAGCTGATTGGCCTATGTTGGTGATAGACGGGCCAAATAAACCAATCAGATCAACGAAGCATATGACGTACTAACAGAGCGACGACGAAGAGGAGCCAATTGATAGATCAAACTCTTGCCGAAACCAGTCGGGAGAAGAGCAAAAACATCTTTTCCTCTGAGAAAAGCCTCCAGAGCAGTGTTTTGCTCTTCTTTCAGTGAAGAAATACTCTGTCATTCTGATAAAACTCGATAGCCACGCTAACGCTAGTTTCATCGGCTGAAGCCGCCATGTTCTTTAGACTGAACTGTCGCGCTTCAAAGCCAACGCTGATTGGACGTTCGTTTGGAGAGTCTCCAGACTGATCTGCGAGTGAAACCTTGAAAGCTCGCGAGATCAGGATGGTCTCACGAGGCTAATGTCCCTATGGTCCCTATGCAAACCTGCGCCCATGGTGACTTCCATCCTGAAACTAGTGGTGTATGGAAGAAAAACAGTCTCACTGGAATCTGCCTTTTTTTGAATACCGAATTTTAAACACTGAATTTTTTTACACATTGAATTCCGTACACTGAACTTGTAAAAATGTACCTGCAAAAAATTTTCCAGCAAAAAATTCACTTGCAACAATTTAACTGTAAATGTGTTGACCTGTTGCTGAACTCAAGTCAAAGCTATCGACACTCGATGCAGTCTAGCAGCTTCTAGCCAATGAAATGAGCTCATTTAGTCACGTGACAGAACAGTTGGGCATAGCTTTGTTCCCGGTTGAATGAAGCTGATGAGTTTTTCTTGTTAAATAGATACAAAACGTCAGGTAGCCACTAATAGACAGCCATTAGTTTTACATCTAATCGGACTGGGTGAAATAACTGAGCCGATCACAGCTAGTGCAGCACCCCTGTCTGTCAAGGCTCTTGGTTTGATCCGGAAGAAGCGGCTTGTGGCAAACTTTCTTTTTTTTCTGACCAAATGAGCTCATATCATTAGCTAGAAGCTGCCCGACTGCATAGAATGTAGATTGCTTTAGCCTGAGTTCATCAAACGGTCAACGCACTTCCAGTCAAGTTTTTTACAGTTGAATTTTCACCAGATAAAAATTCCGTGTTTAAAATTCGGTGTATAAAAAAAAAAGGCAGATTTCAATGAGACTTAAGAAAAGGAAATTCAATCCTTAGTGTTTACACTAGAGATGCATCATATAGATGGGCTTCAATGGGGGCTAAACAGAAGCAATATGTTGAGTCATGAGTTCAAAGCCATTCATCTTTTTAAATATTTTTTTTAAGTAAAATAAATATACACATAAAACTGTGGTCTAATGATCTCTTTCTGTTTTTTGTTTTGTTTTTCTAGTGAAAAAAGCCAAGCTTCAAGGTCCACCAGGTAAGGAAGTCTCTCATTTTGTTACTTTAATAAAACATATAGCTCACCCTTCCTCCATCCTCTAAGACTGCGTTCACACTGCAGGCCTGCAGATTTTAATTTCTTTGTCTATAAAAGTGAAATAGCTTAAGCTTCACTTTGTAAAATGATGGAGGCTCTTTTTCATGGGAAAGTGTGCTTATGTGTAACTGGAATCAACAGAGTAACTTAAGTCGTAAGTCGTAGGGAAGCGGCTGTTCCAACGGTTGCATTTCCAAATTCTCCCGAGTGGGGCACGACTTTAAACGAGTGAATAAAGTGAACTGGATTGGTCGATTATCAAGGGGGCGGGATTATTATGATGGAAGGTTCGCAAGCAAGTTTGATTG